ATTTAAAATAAATAAAATTACTTGTACTAATATATCTTATCTGTAAATTCCAGGTGTGCTTCAGCTGTTGTTCAGACGGCAACATCGCGGTGTGGGACTTACACAACCAGACGTTGGTGCGCCAGTTCCAAGGTCACACGGACGGCGCCTCCTGCATAGACATCTCTGCTGACGGCACCAAACTGTGGACTGGCGGGCTCGATAATACTGTCAGGTTAGTCAACATTTTATATTGAACTAGCTTTCGCCAGCGACTCCGTCCGTGTGGACTTAAAAAAAAACAACAGTCAGTAGTAGTAGCCTATGTGTTTTTCCAGATTATGCTCTACATCTATGCCAAATTTCATTGAAATTCGCTTAGCAATTTAGGCGTCAAACTATAACAAACATCCATCCATCCATCCATCTATCTAAACTTTCGCATTTATAATATTAGTAAGATTAATGAAATATAAAAATGTCTAATACATATGAACAATTTTGTCCGATATTATTTACTTAGCAATAAATCGGTTAACAATTGTGTTTTCTTTTCACAGATCATGGGACCTAAGAGAAGGCAGACAACTACAGCAACACGATTTCAGTTCACAGATATTCTCACTTGGCTACTGTCCTACAGGTATGTTTTTATTGCATTAAATTGTTTTTATTGCATTATATAAACATTAATAAAATGATGAAAAAGTGAACTTATTATGAACCTCAATTAGTATAAAAGTAGCATTCCAGCTATATTTATAACAACGCCATCTTACGTCAAACTCTGCAGTTTTACTAATTTATAATAGCGCCATCTATCGATAGAGAATAATAACAATTTATTTGCAGGCGAGTGGCTGGCAGTGGGCATGGAGAACAGCAACGTGGAAGTACTGCACGCGGTGAAGCCGGACAAGTACCAGCTTCATCTGCACGAGTCGTGTGTGCTCTCGCTGCGCTTTGCCTCCTGCGGCAAGTGGTTCGTCTCCACCGGCAAGGACAACCTGCTCAACGCCTGGCGCACGCCGTACGGCGCCAGCATATTCCAGGTAACACATATTACATATCATTTAACATTATTCTTATTATATACTAGCTTTTTTCTGCGACTCCGTCCGCGTGGAATGAAAAAAAACAAAAGTGAGTAGCTTGTGATCTTCCAGACTATGTTCTACATCTATGCCAAATTTCATCCAGATCCGTTCAGCCATTTAGGCTACAAACTCTAACAAATATCCATCTAAACTTTCAAATTTATAATATTAGTATGAAGTATGATTTGACTGAGATGGACCATTTAGTGAATTGTTAAATTTGTTGTTTCGACTACCGAACGACTAGCTTTTGCGACTTCACCCCCTCCCCCTCCAGGGATTAAAAAACATGCCTATGTCACTACACTAATACTACTTTCTAATAATGAAATAACTTCTGAATTTGATCCAGTACTTTTCAGTTCAGTACAAACAAAAACACAAATCTTTCCCCTTTATAATATTATGGTAACTATGTAATGGATGAAGAGATTGTAAAAGAAACATTTTATTCCAGTCAAAGGAATCATCATCTGTGCTGAGCTGCGACATATCGTCAGACGACAAGTACATAGTGACGGGCTCCGGCGACAAGAAGGCCACCGTGTACGAGGTGATCTACTAACGCGGGGGCGGGGGCGGAGCGCGGCCGGTGATATAGCTCTAGTGTACAGACCTGGGAGAGCCTGTTGTACTTATGCGACTTGTTTATATAGATTAGTGTGCGCGGTTTATGTTTATTTGTTGAGCGCCCGTAGTGCATGTTGGCTGCAGATCTCAAAACTGACGATTACGTTTCAATATTGTTGTATAATGCTCGTATTAAAAAGATATGCGCAAACTACTCCCTTCGTATTATTTACCCTTTACCTTTGGAACTCGTCTTCTTGGATATCAATGACGGTGACGTCACGATATCGCCGAGGTCAACTATAAAAAAAAACATTTACTCTAACTGTGCACGTAATGAATAAAATACGAATAATAAACAATTTCACACAATTTTATATATGGTTATTTATATAGTTTGTAGCCTAAACTACTGAAAGGATTACGATGAAATTTTACATAGATGTAAAGGTTAGTCTGTAAACGCATAATTTTTTTCATAATTCAACGCGGACAGTTTTGCGGGCGAAAGCTAGTAAATAAGTTCATTTCTGTTTATAGAGTATGGATTCTTGAACGAGTATTCAATAATGGGATTTGTTTTAGCATCGGTTATTTTCCTTCTATTTCTTTCTAACGTGAGATCTTAATTATTCTGTGTCAAGCCATTCCTGGTCTTTCCCAATGCCTTCTGTAGTATGCGGCGTCTAAAAGCAGTGTGTTTCTAACACAAGTAACTTAAAGCCTAAAAATATTTTAAAAAAGTATACATATATAATGTACAAATGTTTATTTCCTGCCATATCATTGCAATAGAGTGAAAATAAAATTAATTTTATTTAATTTATTACAAGCTTTCGCCCGCGAATCCGTTCGCGTGAAATTAAAAAAATTCAAGTAGCCAAGAACATATTTTATATTCGAGTAGCCTATAAAATATGTTATAAAATATGTTCTAGTGTCTGTATACTGTATGTCCGTATACCTAATTTCATCATAACAAACTCTAACGAACATCCATCCATGTAAACTTTCGCATTTATAATATTAATAAGATACTATAATGTAGCATAAATACAAGGTAATAAAAACTTTATCGTAGCACTTTTAAAATATGATTATTCAAACAAAGCTATAGTTTCATCACTCATTAAAAATGGATGTACGCACTAAGATAGTTTTCATTTCAGCAATTTGTAATAGGATACTCGTTATCTATGGATTTCCTATTTGTACGCAAACACGCGTCAATTGATACCATCACTAATGATGTTTTTATCTTGTGAGTTTTGACTGCCCTCACTGTATTTAGACATTTTTTTCCCTTTGTTTTTTAACATTACACGTAGGGAGCTGATATGTTCTTAAAACAACGAGTATTTATGTGTATGAAGTGAAGTATACTAGGACAGGATTACGCGTATCTTGAATTACCGTTATACTGTTTATTTACTTTTAACTATTCTGATTGACGAATTTAACTCTTATTGTGACCGAATATCGCGGCTTACAAGAGCATATGTAACAGAGGCGGTGAGCAGACGCCGGCGGTGCCAGCCACCGCGTTATTGGCGCCTGGCACTATGTTATACCGCTCTCCTTTGTCAACACTCCTGCGCAATTGCAACCATATTAGGTAATTTATTGTGACGTAACGAGTTGTAAGTCGAAATCCGCTTGAATACGAGTAACATGTTTTTCAAAGGTTTAATCTATAGAAGTCGTTTTTTTAAACTGTTTGAAAAATGTTTACTTACATAACTCGCTTATATTTAATTCAAACTTGAAGCTTATTTCGAACTTTAATAACAAACGATCTTCTAATGCAAGCATCATTGCGTTTACATTTTATTTATGTATTTCTATTTGTAGTATTCTAAGATTTTCGAAAAAGAGAGATCTTTACATCGACGGTTAGATAATGTTTTGGGGAAACGTGTTTTTGCCGTAATAAAAACAAAAGGTGCAACATGATATTATAGTTAATCAATATTCCGTGTGTTTTGTGTTTGTATTAACAGGACAGTACGCACGTCGATATCAGGCGCAACCCGAGCCGGCGTCAGCGCGGCCAGATGCCGGCCGTGCCAGCCACTACGACGATAGCGCCAAACCGCGTCACTGGATAAACTATGCCAATGTTGACCTCATATCTATCTTATACGAGGTATACTTAAATTGCAATAAAAAGTACAGTATCAGTGCAATAGTTGTACTGACGGTACATTATTATTGACCTACCCACATATACACTACATAGACTAAAACAATATGTATTCAAATAGTTTTTAACATGAGTAATGCAGTATATGAGGTCTTTCGCGTTTACTTTTTGCCAACGAGCGGATATCCTCTTTCAATTTCAAGATAACAGATGCAGTATTAATTTGGTGAAATCGTTTCAATTATTTTCATATTCCTCTACTTAGTAATAATTTTAAATTATTTACAGCGATTAGATAACAAAAGATATGAATCGGTTTACAATCAATCCTTGTCATGCTAATTTCTTCTGCAGTATGGTTCTTTATACATTGAGTACGCTTCAACAACTTACGGTCATCTACCGCAATGGTTATTGTAGAAACCTTGTATTTAAAATAATTCAAAAGACTGCAAGTTTCTTCACATCAATCTCCATCTCACTATACATCTCTACTGAGGGGCTCGGAGCCTATCCGTAAGGATGTCAAGGCCCTAGTAAACCTCGCTGGTCCACTGCGGGATGGTTAACATTCCACGTGTCTTTGAATTTCTTCGCCGATATGTGTGTGCTAGTTGCATTACGATGATTTCCTTCGCCGTTAGAACGTCGGGTAAATTATGTACATATGAAAATTAGGAAAGTCGAAAATGACATTGGTAAATGGCGGGATTCGAACCCAAGACCTAGATTACAAGTTAAGTGATTACAAGTTAAGTGCTTAAACCACTGAGCCACCGACGCTCTCTTAATAATTACTATGATACTAAGACTAAGGCGGTTATGAATTTTGCGTTGTAATTAACGTAATAATTATGTCCAAAGTATTACATAAACAAATGCTGTTTCGTATAAGCTTAAAATTGAGATTTTGGGAAACCCGCAATATCACGGACAGGACATAGATGAGGCGGATTGATAAAAACATATTTCCGTTCAAAACTTGAATTCCGTAACGTTATTTTTGTTCTATGACGCATCTCTAGTATAATTTCCATCGACATAATATTGGAATATGTTATCATACGCTTTTTATCGAGAAAGTAACATTGCGAACATATTGATGTGGCATTTTTTGACCCTTAGTTAATGTGAATCATTGAACTTACATATAAACTAATTAAATACAATCAATGTATATTATTTATAAACAAATGTAATTATTTAACAACTGTTCCAATCAGTTTAAATGTAACTTACATAAGGAATTTGTTTTTTTACTCCACGTTAATAAAACTCATATTTCTTACTAAAACTAACTTTATTTTATTGGAGGATGGCTTACCTTATATAATTCTTTGTTTCTTGGATCATTAGAAAGCGGGGGTCTCGATTCGCTAATTAAGAAATCTAAGACAAACATTATTTATTATATTACAAGTAGTTATAGTATTGTATGATTAGTATGTACTTACTGTTTTGATTTGTATTTCACCAAAAATTCAAGATTTAAGTTATTAGCGTTCCCTTATCAATCTCCCGGTACAATTATTGAACAATCTAAAGCCATGTTTTAGTGTTCTTATATGTGAATACATATATGGATAGGATTTCTTTTAAACAAAGCACTATAAATATAACAATGTAAATGAATAAGGTAAAAGAACTGCACGTTTGGTCGAACAAATAAGAGATAAGCGCGTAGAAAGTGAATGATCCTGCTGTCGTTATATTCAATAAACACCGTCGTAATTGATATTTTGTTCCATATTATCTTTTTAATGCGCAATGTGTTGAGCATATCTGAACAAAGTACCTCTTTCAAAATAACGCTCGTAAACCATTACAAGTACGAAAGGGATAGATTACTTCGTAGCATGTACCGGGGAATGAAATGGTTTTTTTGACGTATGACATGTGCTGAAAAGGTTTGCTGATGCGGACATAAAGAGTGTTATCTCGCGTCCGTTGCGGTGCGGTGTCCGGCGCTGGACGCTGCAGACGCCGGCC